GACTGTAATTCCTTAGACGGGGCGTGGCATGTCGTGGGCGCAGATGGTGCCATGGAGCATAACCCTTCAGTTTTCGTGCACACCTTAGAACTCGTACTGCAGCATATCCTAAAGGCATCAACGTATGTTACTTGGAAGCTCCAGCGTTAAATATAATTTTAGAACGGAACACCCGGGTCTCGGGTCCGGGTCTAGAAATTTCAAGACCCGGTCCCGGACCCCTCGGGTTGGGATCAGTAGTTTTGGACCCGGCGTGAACCGGGTCCTAAGACCCGTTTCTAAATTCGGGTCCGGGTCCGGGTCGGGTCCGGGTCCGGGTCACACCTGGGACCCGACCCGTTGCGAGCACTGAGCACCAGTCGTTCACTATGGGTGAGACTGGAGTAAGTTGGTTCACACCAGCCAGCAGTGCCGTCAGAGCCACTAAACAATGGCAACTGTAAGCTCAAGAATATATTTTTGAATGTATCCAATGTTTGGTGGCTCTAGCGAACGCAATTTTAGATCGCCCAATACATTTAGCCTCATTTCGGAGGGGTTGGTGTAAATATTGCCTCCATATGTAAGCCCTTAACTTGATCAGCTTGGTTAGATTTGAATATCTCCTTCAATTATATTTATTCGGGTACATACCTACTTAAATCTTTTATGAATAATTGATCAAACGAAGAACTTAGCAGGAAATTAGTTTTACAGCCACGTGGATAATATAATAACTTCGAATTGTATATTCTCCTCTTATATAAAAAAAATTCAACATACTCATTATTTTGCGGGAAATTGTAATTAATGAAGATGATCACAAACCATGTAAGACTAATTTTATGTTGGGTTCGATAACAAAATTTGTACGTAAGGCAGCGTTTCGTTACTTTTTGTATGCAGTAGTATCAAATTTCATAAAGGTACTTACGGTTGAGGCATTTACGTAAACTAGCCCATAAGCCCGTCCTCAAGAAGGGCCACATTAATTTTTTTCACCTTGCTAAGGAAATTTTTTAACGTTGCTAAGAAAATTTTTCAACGCTGCTAAGGAATTTTTTTTTACGTTGCTCAGATCACATGAATGAAAGTAAACAAGTACAAACTTATAGTCCTACCAGCGGCTCTTTTTTTCTCTTTGTACAGATCATGTCTTTCAGCGCAAAATGCATCCACTTCTTCATGCCGCACAATTCAAAGTTGCCTTCCTCATCGGGTGGAAACACTAGAAAGGATTTAGGAACAAGGTCTAGCGTACTTTTGAAGTCATATGCACCCGCAAGCTCCCGGGAGTTTGGGTCTCCTACAATAATTAGAGTATTATCTGCATAATCCATGACCATGTGGTTAAAGTGAAGAGAAGGTTGAGTCGCTAATCGCAGTTTATAACTGAATACTTTCTCAGATTTTATATATTTATGGAAAAGTAGGCATACTTGACATTTTCCTACTCGTATTTGTAATACGTTTAGAAAAATTGAAACAGGTTTTGAACTCAACTCAAGGACGACTGTTGTTGGGAAAGTGTTCCCCGGAAGGGAAAAATCAGTCAAGCCTGATTCACAGCGACTAATCTTGACGCCACAGGAAGGCCCGCCGGCCAAAAACTTGGCAAGCGGAAAAGGTGTAGAGATCAATTGTGCCGAGACGATAATTATGAACGATTGATGGAAAAAGTAAATAATTGTCAATATAATTGTATCGACGACGGTTAGTGATTTCCACATTTTATGTATTTCTTTATATAATTTGTTGATTGAGGTAAGCCATCTGTACTTTTGGTGCAAGATTCAAAATACAAGTGGGGAAAGAATAAGGCATAAAATCCCCTTGGAATACAACGGTTGCCATGGAAAAGAAAATCCAAACAATATTTTGTATGCATAATTGCAGTATTTCATTCCTGGACGGAAATGGTTTCCTCCTTTTCAAATTAGCTGCACTTCAGTGAAAGGAAATGAGACAATTTATTTTGCTCTTCAATATCTTGTGCAAATAATTGCATATTAAGCACAAGAACAAATTTTCACAACCTATTTATTGCATAGGTTTCTTTTCTATTTCCTGCATTTGTCTTACCAAGAACAGAGAACTAAGAAATTTCCAAGGTCTTAAAGTACCCTAGTTAATCTGACGTCCATAAGACGAACTTCAAAAGAATATCACAAGTTACTACATAATACGAATATTTAAACCACTGGGTAATATTTCAGTACCAAATCCTTCCGAAGTCTTGCAAATTGTGAGAAAATTGGATATGTATTGTTTTGTGTTTTGAAAAATTAACAATTATTTTCTGTCTTGACATACATAAATTAGCAAAAATAGTTTTTAACTAACTATATTATTCGCACTTAATATGAAATCCGTATGTTATTCGCATTTAAAATTTAATCACTACGAGAACGAACTATCGAGAATCGGTCATATGTAGTCTGAATATATTCCTGTGTTACTAAACCTTATCTTTGTTATTGTGCAAAATAAAAATGATCCCATTTGTCGCATTCATACTGGGAAATGTCAAGTTTTAATGCTATTGGCGTCAAACCTTACAAAAATTATCATGACTAAATTTTACGTTTTTCCACTCACTGCTCGGCTAAATTACTCACCTCATGTTGTTCAACAATTCATACCACAATTGTCCAGTTGAACAATCAAATACATTGACATGTGCATAATTGACTAATTATCTTATTAACGTCACCCTTAATTCATGGTACATGACTAATTCAATATTTGACATATTGATTTCTAAGCAATCTATTCCCTGTCATCAACCTCACCACGCTTTACTTCAAATCAATTCATTCATCCACTACAAACAAGTTTGTTGAACAAACCTGCGAATTAATTTAGTTCTAAATTTGGAATTCCCAATTTATCGTTGCATTTGCCCATATCATCCTACACGTCAACGTTATTTGAGCCGAGCGTCATGTCCTCAAACTTTGACAGAACATGATACCACAAGCAGTAATTCTTCAGCGCGTAGATACATACGTCGATATATTTAAATAGTATTAACTGCTGATCAATTAATTCTATCTACATTCTATTCCAATGAACCGAACCAAACGCTTGATTTTCCTGTGAAATTATATGCAAAATTTTGTACCTAATTTTTTTAATCAGCAGACTTTTTCATAAGCTAATTTTCATCGGTATGCTGTTAGCTAAGAGTTTAATTATTTTGGCAAAAGTGACGTCTTGGGTTAGTTTTATTTATTTTGTTAAGCTTTTTCCGTACGTACAAATAAAATATGTAGGTGAGAAATGTTTAAACTATATATCGAAATTTCATGCAAATATTGGAAAGGGGCAAAGTTCTAGTAAATACCTATATTTAAAGAGGGATTCGCAATTTCTATTTTATGGGACGGTACATACATAAATTACGACACTCGAGAGGAGGGTCCAAGTCTCCAATGATATCGTATACATATGTGACAGACGGTTAAGCATGGTTAGGTATGGGTGGGGGGGGGGTCTAGAAAATCCAGCCTATTACGTGAAATAATTCATGGACGTCGCCCCTATTCAATTTTTAATATCTACTTAATTGAAGAGATAAGTTAATCACAGTTTAGTTTCGTCAGTCATCGCATATCTCGCAAATTTAGAAATATTAATAACTCACACGCATTTGGAGATGTTTATAAAAGTCTTATTGGAATTTTTTGATTAATTTTTCCTTGTCTTACATAGCCCCGGCCAAATTAAGAATACCGGTAAATTATTTGTAGCGTTAATAATGAACAGACGGCGGATATGTATGTATTTATAGCTTTGCATACCATATCAGATACTGATATCCCATCTAAGCACGATTGCAAAAATTCAAACATGGTTTTCCATATTTTCCATATTTTAGGATTTTCTTACATATTACATATTTTCATATATATTTTGAGCATTTTTCGTACATACTAGGTACATATTTTCCTTTATATTTGGAGTACTTGTCTAAATATAAATATTTTTATAGGTAATTCGAAGTTTTTTATGCAAAAATATTTTTCTTCATTCAGAAATTAAGATTTCCTCAAAATTATATTTCAAAAATATAGTGGAAAATTTAATTTTAAAACATTTATCATGTCCACATTTTCCGGTTGTTCAAGCACATATTGAATATTTACATATTTTGCGGAATTTACGTACATATGTGCATACCCGCCCTCTGAGAATGACTGTAGGATTGTCAACCTTAGCATATCGTGCTAATGGAGTTTAGCAACAAAAAAAACTAGCGAAGTATTTCGCAAACATTTTGCTGCAAAACTATGGGATTTTTGATGGCAAGTTTACCCATTAAATGGGCGTGTTTTTATTTCGCAAACATAAATACATATTCTGCAAAACTTCGCTAAATTAGTTTCTATCTGAAATATGTAAGACGTTATCGAAAATTTCGTGCCATGTTTAAAAGAAATACCTAACTATGCTATTTTCAATACCATTTTCGACAAAAATTGAAAAAATGGAGGGGCTTATCCATTTTCTGGATTACCTTCTTAATTCCTACTTCGGCGCATACATATTGCACAGCAAAATATTTTCGAGTCGCTAGTTTCTCTTAAATGAAACTGTAACTTAAAATATTTAAAATTACTTAATTGAAATTTATGTATGTGTAATTTATAAATTTGTTTAATTATATAAATTTTTGGATTCAAATTTAATCAAGATTTTTATTTTTAGGATATCATATCTCATAGTTTGGCAGCCTTGCTTCTAGCAGCGGCCGGAGTTTTGATTGTAGTTGCCGCCACCGACATAAAGTCCTATCTAACACCAAGCAGCTGGATTCGGCTTCCACGACTTACGTATAATATGTCCAGAAAGTAACTTCACAGTTTTAAAATTCGTATAATATTAAAAGTACTCGGCACAAGCCAAAACGCAAAATTTATCCATGATCCCTAAGACTTTTGCCAGTTAGTAATGCCTCTCATTGTTTGTCTGACCCTTTTGTATCCGATTGAGCGAATTATTTTGAAATTACCCGATTTGCCAAACTAGCAGGGCCGCAGTAGGCGCAGCTGCGGCCAAAATGGGTCGGCAAACTGCAGGAAATGTCCGAATGGCCATAGGTGGCTTGGCGGTGGCGATCGCGTACGGGCCAACTTCGTATTCCAGTTGGCACGCCAACTTGATACCGGCTTGCCACCGGTGGCAAGACCATGGCTCAGACCTGCGGAAATGCTTATACCCATCCAAATGCCACCAGTAATTGCACATATTATTTACTTTTTCATTTGTTATTTATTTTAAAGTATGAAGAAGTGGTAAACACAAGTACATATTTTTATAAGGTAAAAGTAAACATTTATACATAACTTCACTGTAATTAACAATCCTCACATTAGTCGTAATTTTAGCTAGAAATATATTTACGGTTAAGCTATTGAATGGATATTCCGGAAATTTATCAAGTTTTATAACCTCGTAAAACTCTGAATATTTTATGGATAGGTTAATATATTTTAATATTACATAAGTACCATCTCCTAAGTAGAAACAATTATCATATTTACTATTAGAAAACTGTTGCGTACTAGATTTCATAATTTTTGTCGCAAAATCAATTGCCTCAATTTCTTGTAAGCGTTTCGCTACTTGATTCAGGTGATAATTTTTAGCATGCAGCATGCTTTTTAGTTTCTGCATATAGCTTTCGAAAGGAAATGCGCTGACCCTGGACAAATTACCAAAATTCAATGCATCATCACAAATGTGTATAATTGAATGCACATTATATATCATAAATTCTGGACCGTAAATTAATTCAACTTCTTTTACGAATTGTATGAGCAACGACCTGGCTACATCATTCCACGATTTTATACTTGCATTAGGAGATAATAATATTGACATCGCTGCTTGTAATTTTAGAAAATTTTTAAACTTATTTAGTGGAAGTGTCTCGCCTAATACTGCTATTCCAGAGTACAGCAAAAAAAGTCTAAATTCAGTGGCCTTGAAATGATTTAGTTCGTCGAGCCCACGAGGTTTGCGTTGAAAATCACGGGATACAAAAGGTCTAAGTCGAATTAAATTTCTAGATAAAATTAAAACTTGTTGTGAACTAAGTCGGTGCGGCAATTTACCTTTCACCCAAATGTTCAATAATTTTTTAGTTACTCCTAGAAAAACTAAATGCATATGGTCAAGTACTATTTGTGACACCAGGCCTAAATTTAATCTCAGCAATTCACTGTCGTATGTGTGATGATCTGCATCCGTTTTTTTAATAAATTTATCATCCGTTCTCTGTGGACATACTGTCTCTCTTAAAATTACTCTTCCAAGCCATTCACCTTCCTGTTCGCATCTTTCACACGAGTTGTAGCTATTATGCTGTTTGCACCCTTTTATAAAACTTCTAGCTGGTGCATCAGCTATTATACAAGATATTTTAAATGCAAATTGTAAGTCTTTAAATAAAATACCAGTCCTTTCTAATTCTAATGCTTCGTCAACAAATTGTTTAAGAAATAAAGTATCTTTTGGCTTTGACATGCCGCAAAATAATCCAATAATAAATGGACTTGAATCTACAGCTTGGTCCAGCATACCAAGAATTGGCCAAAACGACTTAGTATTACTTTGAGAAATCGGTACCCCGTCAATACCAACTGATATTGAAATAATTTTCGAAATAGACTCATGCTGCCATTTTTTAATAATTGGAAAATTGCAATCCGATAATTTTAGTTTTAGCCGTCTTTCCACACCTTTTTTTATACCGAAATAAACTAGTTCACCTCCACCTAGCTTTTCTATAACTATCTGTCGTGGCGTTTTCATTAATGTTCTAGGATCGAGAGGAAGAATATTGTTAATATGTGGATTTATAATGGTTATCAGTTCTCGGAGACACATATGTGTAACATTATGTGCTGTAGCCCACAGACGAAGACTATCTGGCAAAAGTAAAGGAAAATTGATATCTGACTCAACATTTACTTGACTGTTGTCTAATACAAAATCTGAGGGTTCAGCGCTACTTATTTCAGTTTCAACTATTTGAACATTCACTGGTGGCTCTACAATTTCTTCACTAAATAATAATGTCGGCACAGTATTTCCTATCGTCTTACTTCTAATAAATTGCAATATACGTGATGTTGCTTTTCTTCTGCGGCGTAATTCCGTTCTCGGGGTGACTGTATTCATCCTGTCAAATGACGTTGACGACGAGCTGCTCGACCCCCACCTCTGTCACCAGCGTTCTTCAACCAGTTTATTATTGCCTGCTTCACCTCGAAATCTGTTGCTTGGCTAAAGCCTTTATTTGACCGCACCGACTCTAGAAAATCGTTGCAGAACACTTAATCATTTTTAATTATAAGATGGTTTCGAGAATAAATTTTATTAACGTACTTGTGATTAATTTAGGTAATATTGAGTCCTTTATGCCACAAACCGCTTTTTGTCCTTGTCCAGTAAAGCTAACTACTGTTGCGAACTGGTTCGTAAATATTTCAGAAAGAATGCTTCCGGTTACTGCAGAAACATTTTCTCCTCCGTGTAGACTTAGATAATCGATCTGTCGTTAATAAATAGATTAGGTCATACCCAGCGTACGCATAATAAATAAAGTACGCATTAAAATTCTCTGGTACCATTAGGTCACTATTTTTATCAATACCAAGCCAGGTTATGAGGGAAGCTAAACCATCCTTGCTGGTTAAAGGCAGTAGCGGGGCTCCAGTCAATTTAATATTTTTTGCACACGTCGTCCCAAGATTAATGTGCTTCAACTTACTAGAAATTATTTCTAGCTTGGAAATCACCGCATCTTGAAATTCTAATAAAAAAGTTAGTTAATTCCATAGTATAAATATAATAGAAAGGAGAATACACACAATCGTATTTTATTCATACGAATATTATCATACTTCTATTTTCCTCTAGAAACTGTACGAACTGATTTTTAAACTCGACATCCTCTGCCTGGTGGGTTGCGGAAGTGTTTTGATCTCCTCCTCCTGGGTATATTTCTATTTGTCCATGAGGTGGTGCAAATAATGTGTTGTCATTAGCTGCACCTTCATAACCGCCCCTTTCCAAATCGGCTCTTATATAAACAGAAAAAAATATCATAACTTAAATTATTAATTATTTATAATACTAATTAAATGATTTAAATTAACATAAACTATGAACTGGCGACGTAAACTAGTGGTTACACCCTTCCGGTTTACCTGTTTCTCTAACTAATCCAAGGCAAAAAGTTGTCGGGTTGTCGTCCTCCAACGTGTTGGATTCGTCGCTAGAATCTTCGGCTACAGCAATTATTTTTTGAAGCTTGTTGCTATTGGAATTACACGGTGGCGGCTTTACTTTGTTTTGTATGCGTTTTCGGATTCGCCTAGAATCTGCCTCCTCAACGGAAGATGGCTCCAAGTTGGAAGTTTCTTCCGCCCTAATTGATGCTTCACGGGCGGTCAAATAATTGTCTAGAAAATAACATAGATAACAGCAAATAATTAGTTTTGCCATATACTTTTTTGCAACAAACTGCTTACCATACTCTTTCAAAACTCGACAAGAACAGACCAACCAATCCGAAGATGGGGGTTGATGATTGCAAACAAGTTTGGCTAGTTTTGCACCTCGAACTTTTGATGGTGGATATCTGCAGTTCTTCACTTGGGTCCCCCCATTTGCAATAAGTGGCGGAAGAATCCAAGATGACGATATAACGTCAATGGCGTTATCTTCGTCGGGAAATATAACTACTGCAAATTTAATCATGACAAAGTACGTTTAATGGAATAAAGACAAAATACTGATTTGATGGACAGAATGTTGACGGTGTGGAGGTTTTTAAGTTTCCTCTACTTTAAGTAAGAGTTGGGGCATTTTGGTATCTCATTCGAGTCGGGCCGTAGTTGGCAAGAATGTGGCCAGAAGCAAAATCTTAAATACCATTTAAAGCTTGCTATGGCCTGGGATGGGCCGTCGACGGCAAGTAGACAGATTAAGTCCGGCAAATACACTGGTTTGCCGAGTGAAAATGGCGGCGGGAAAGCGGTGGCAAGTACTCGGCTGGATGTCGGCAAAATCTGCGACTCTTTGCCGCCGGTGGCGACTACTTGCCAACTGTTTCAAGAGCCTTTGTGGCACACCGGGGAACTTTGACCCCATATTGTGAAAAAGTGTATTGGTATTCGCACGAGTTTTTTTGAGCTAAATAATCCTAATTTTTTAAACTATTTTTTGATACTTACCTGAACCGGGAGATCCGTGGAGCAAAGGAGATCTCAGCCACCAATGTTATCCTTATGAGATTCTTCAAATTTAGGACTGGCAGTAAAAAACTCGAATCCAGCCAGTGTGCAGCTTAGCGAATGCTTGCCCTCCTACAAACTTCCGTCCTCCAGTTTCGTGCAGCATCCAGGGAGACAAATCATAGGAAATCATGTATTGTGATTAACCTCGTCGTTAGCAAATAAAATTCGTTGAAAAACTGTTAGCGACTGTTTTATTTAGAATTGCAAAACTCAAAATTTACAAGGAGTCCAAAAAGGAGAAAATTCCACTTTTTTGGGTGGCCTTGACATAGAAAAAATTCAAAATTTAGGCTGATAAAGACCACTTTTTACCACGAATTATTCCGCATTTGGCCCTGGAGTTGATCCATTTTTCTATTTTTGCCATCTATTTTGGTTGTCAAGGGTAAATTTTAAATTACATTTATCTCTGTAATTGGTGAACAACGGAATATAAATCGTTACATACATGTGTGCAATTGGTACCCAAGAGGTAAGTACTTGTTGCGGCACCCTGTTGCGGTGATTCATCCATGAATCTCACTCTGCCGTGAGGTTGGCTGAGTATTCACTCTCCGCACTCATTACAACTATATCTCACACGTAACATGCTACACGACCCCCAAACTTATTTACTTATGAGCAGATCAGTAAATAAATGTGTGCGAATTGGAGCAAACTGATGCAAAATTTACCCCTCGCCCGTTCCATAGTAAGGAAGTAAATTAAATTGAGCTCTCTTCATGCCTAACTTTTCATCATTTTTGATAAAAAAATAACGTTGATGAGATGAAATTGGACTAATTGCTAATATTCCAAAGTGGTCAGTGTAAAAAAAAGTGTGGCAAGGTGTAGGTTTTTTTTGGCAAAAATCGTCATGCTGAAATCCAACATGTTTTTGTACCAGGGGGTCATCCCTTTGATTAAGTGGTATAGAAAATTGGAACTATTCGTCCTCACCTTGTTCCCCGGTTTGGTGGAGAAGTACGTGAAGCACCATTTCGCCAGGAGTGGGGTCGAATTCGACGGGAAGCGAGGGTGGGATATTGAGGTGAGTGTGAAATCATATGCGTAAATATTCATATGCGTAAATAATTGGGAAACAGTAATGGGGGTATTCATCATCGCATCGTAACATATTCTTGAAAAATATTTTGCTAATCAAATACTAGCCTTGGAGATGGGCAAGTTAGAAAATAATTTATCAAGCCAATTTTCAGAAACAAATTTTGCTAACTTGCGAACTTTGATTTTTTGCTAACGTTGCTAAGTCGGGATGAATACCCTCATTGTCTTAAATGTGATAGAATTGATACGATGGTCGGATACAACCAGTATTCGCTAAAAAGCAAAAAAGCATGGCATCCTGTAATGCTTTTTTGCTTTTTTGCTCTTGCTTGTTTGCTATTTTGCTGTTTTAGCAGTGGCCATCTAGCGGCGTAATGCACAACTACCATGTTGTAAGTTTCAATAAAGCAAAAAAGCAAACAAGCATCCGATTTTGATAAGCAAAAAGCCGTTTTTTTTCAGCAAAAAAACATTTTTTCAAAAAAGCGCTTTTTTGCTTGGTCGAACACTGGGTACAACAAATCAGGAAAACATTATTGTGAGTGGAGACAAAGCTGACGGTTTAGTTGTCACGGGTATCTAGGTGAAGGACAAGTCACTCTACCCCCGCATAGTGAACCATGGTCCGCTTGGTCTTGGCGAAGGGTGCATGGATGGCCAGTGGGAGTCTGACGATATCCCGCCGCTGGCCTATCATCTTTTTGAAGGGGACGCTGTAGCCGTCGCGAACTGGTTTCACCCCTGGAACAGATTTCTCAACTATATGGCCTGCTCCTATTTCAATCTCCAGAGTAAAGACAGGGCGTGGGAGGTTGGGGAGAACCATTACGATTTAGGTATGAAACTTAATCGGGGTATTCATCACGACTTGGTATATGTTTAAAAAATATTTTGCCAACTAAATACTAGCTTCGGAGATGCGTAATTTTGAAAATTATTTTCAACTTAAAAAAATTGCTAAAATTTGCTAGTTTTTCTAACGTTATTAACCTCTTGGGTGTGTAACGATTTATATTCCGTTGCGTACCAATTAGAGAAATTTGTGTAATTTGAAATTTACCCTTGACAACCAAAATAGATGGCAAAAATTGAAAAATGGATCAACTCCAGGGCCAAATGGGGAAAAATTCGTGGCAAAAAGTGGACTTTTTCAGCCTAAATTTTGAACTTTTTCTATATCAAGGCCACGCACAAAAGTGGAATTTTCTAGTTTTTGGACTTTTTGTCAGTTTTGAGATTTTCGATTCAAAAGTACATCGGTCACTAACAGTTTTTCATGTGATTTTACTCGGTAACGATGAGATTAACGATGACAAGCCGTAATGAATACCCTCATTATTGTTACCGTGTCTTTGTTAATTACCGACTATTGAAACAGGTGACGATCTCTTTGAATCCTTCATGGACGACTCGATGTCCTATACTTGCGGCTACTGGAAGAATGCAACGACCCTTGGCGAAGCCCAGTTCAACAAGATGGAGCTAATCGCGTCCAAATTGAACTTGAAGCCAGGGATGCGCGTCCTCGACATGGGGTGTGGCTGGGGCGGGTTGGCTTTCCACCTTGCCAAATACTACTCCGTCTCCGTCCTTGGAATCACAATCTCGATCGATCAAGTCGTCGCGGCGAGGAGGCGGTGTGCCGGCATGGCGGGAGTTGAGGTGAGGTTAATGGACTATCGCCACTTGGACGAGGCCGGAAATTTCGACCGGGTCATCTACGTCGGCATGCTGGAGCACGTGGGTACGTGAACAATCACAAAATTTTCTTCGCCACGGTCCACGCGTGTTTAAAGTCGGACTGAATCTTCCTCCTCCACACGATAGGAATTGACAGCCACCTCACCCCCTTCGTCCGAACCATGGCTGATCACCTACATTTTCCCCAATGGCTACGTCCCCTACCACGCGGAAATTACGAGGGGGATCGAACACCTCTTTGTGCTCGAGGACTGGCAAAATTTTGGGCATGATTACATAAAAACGTTGCAAGCCTGGTGGACTAATTTCGAAGGGAATTGGCCCACAATTAAGGACAAGTATGGCGAAAGGTTTTTCAGAATGTGGAAGTATTTCTTTCAATTTCATGAAGGCGCGTTCAGGTCGAGGAAAGGGCATGTGTGGCAGGTGGTGCTGAGTAAGGGGGGGATTAAGGGGGATTATTATGCGAGAAGGTAGACATGGGGATTTAGCAATGGCCGCGGAAGCGATGGATATTGTAGGAGGGGGAGGCGATTATTTAACATGGGGAGATTACGGGGAAATAAACAAACTGTCCCCACCCTTCCGAGGCCAGTGGTATTGGGTGCTAATAAAATGCATTTTAATTATCTTATCGATATCTGGAGTAACTGGCCGGATTGAGGACTGGCATGTTAAATAAATAGTGCATGAAGGGTGACATCAGGGTGTAAATTTTATGCGTGTGTGTACATACATTGTTCCACTGTACATAAATATTAAGTTTAGATTACAATCTTTGGATTAGGTGTTGTAACGAGTAGAGAATAAAAAAAACATTTCAATCACTCAAAAGCTTCAAAATAATGGTAAATATTTAACCACTTTTTGACCGTAATCAACCCTAAGCCCCGAATTTGACTTTTCAAAACTGATATAAATTCGAAAAAAATGAAACTTCCATATTTTTACGTGGAGTTGGTATAGAAAATATTCAAAAATTCGGCTGAAAAAATTCAACTTTTCACTATCGAGTTCTCCACCTTTCATAATCAAGTTTTTCATTTTTTACCAATTTTCTATTCTCATGTTACTTGCCAATGGAAAATTTCTCTAGATCATGTCATGTGTTTGGTCTAGAAAGGGACTTGGTTTAAATGATACGATATCTTGAATTTGGTCAGAAAGAGGTTAATTTATTTATGCTAGTATTTCACTCTAACGCAAATAAGAAAACGTATTTTATCGACATATACAATTGAACTTTCAGAGCAAGTCTGTATTGTGGCAAAATCCATAAAATTTCTCAGTGCCTTATATACTTGGAAGTGGGAAGTATTTTTGATATTTTTTACAAACTCACCATTTATCTGATACAATAAATCGAATCCGATTCACAATGAGAGGTGAAAGTGCTCGCACTCAGGATCAGAGTGGTTTGGCCTCGTGTGCAACACATAACCAGATTATTTTAATTCCCATGATACATAAGTGGCACATATTTCGACAACTTCAGCTTAATTCGTATCAGAATAAGCAAATATATTATTTAATGGTTCATCGTGTCAACAGGTGCACACGGGACGTGTTTAAAACATGCGTATTCAGCACCATACATCGGCATGGACGCGTCCATATGGACAAATAAGCGCCCATATAGGCGATGAAGGCAAAATTGTAGATATGGGCAAAAGAAAAAGTGGATGGACGCAGGACGATGGACGCAAAAAATAGTCGATGGACGCTATTTTGCCCAAGTGTGTTCAGCATGACTTGGCATGTTATCATGGCATCATATTTTTGAAAAATTAAACTAAATTCCATCCTTGGAGATGCACAACTTGGCAAAGGGTTTCTTAAGATAATTTGTGGAATTTTTTGTGCCAACTTGCGAACTTATATTTTTTTGCTAACGTCACCAAGTTGTGACGAATACAGGCAATATGAACGATTCCTGCAAATACAAATCTATGTTAAACATCTAAAAAACCTATTATGTGTTATAAGAGGTTTAATGGATAGAGATAAATTCCTCGAACTGTTAATCAGAATGCTCCGCTAATTGGCAAAGCTACTCGCGTTTCTCTCCAAATTTGATAACAATAGC